CGAGCCGGGAAGGCGAGGAATGCGAGGCCGGCGGCCTGACGGATGAGCCAGGAGTGGTGCGGGGCCAGAACCAAGCCGTAGGCGTCCGCGCACTGCGCGCCCGCGTCCGTGCCTTCTCCGGTCGCCACCCGGTGGAGGCAGAGCTGGAACCAGTGCAGCGCGCGGTGCAGCAAGAGCAGCGTTCGTGAGCCCGAGGCCCAGGTGGAGTCCTGAGGGACAGTCCCGGACTGCTCCAGCAGTTTTGCCCGCCGCTCCCACGCCGCCATGGCTGCCAGCGACGTGTAGTGCGCGGCATCTGGTCCATGCACCAGCGCCTCAAGGGCTGTCACTTTGGTGGAGGCCTCGCTTGTGGCGAAGGCGAAGATGGAACCGAGGGGAATTAGGAACCTGTGTGTTTGGTGGTGGGGTGGGGAGATGGTTTGTGAGAGGGCAACGGAATCACGAAGAGGCTTCGGGGAGGGAGACCACTCACTTGACAAGTTCCCTCCATCCTGCCAGGTACTGCGACAACTCCACATCTCTTTCGTGGTCCAGACAGGCGCGGAAGGGCCTCATCATGCGGCCCAGCCTCCCTCGAGGGCCCAGACAAGGAGGCTCTTCCCGCTCCAACGCCGCCAGGGATCCCGACTTTTGCTGGACCTGGGGGGATAGACATGGGGAAAGGGGGTGGGAGCAGAACCCCTGGACTAGCTAGCGAGCAGCCCAGTAGGACTCAAGAAATTGTTCCTAAGGTCTAGCTGGGGTCCCTCCTGGTGTACTGTCGGCTTGGGACGGGGAAGGAGAGACGAAGGAAACTCGTCCTTTACCAGATCCTCAGCCCGGGTCCCCTTCCCCAAGTGCAGGGTCCCATTTGGAGCTCCCAGCCCCAGCCCCCTGGCCTGAGCGTACCTGGTAGAGCGGCGGTCCTTCTGAAATACAGGCCTGTGCTCCGAGTCTGCACCTTGAGAGGCGCCCTGGGAGAGGACAAGAGCAGTGAGGGCCCGAGACGAGGGCTTGGCTCCCAAGGCCCTGGACTCCTGGGTCTCTCCGGGAGCAGGTGAGGGGGGGGGGCACTCACCGAGGCTCCGAGCACTGAGATAAAGAAGCAGCAGCGCGAAGATAACCGCGAGAGGAATCGTGTGGCGGAACCAACGCCGCGGGGCTGAGGACAGCAGCGCGACCCCCATGGCAGCTACAGGGACCACCGCCCCCTCACCAACCCCTAGCCAGTTGGTGTCCCTTCGCCTTCAGGAGGGGAGAGAAGCCTGCGGTGCGCAGAGGCATAGAGTTAATAATTAACCTCTTGAGGCCCCCTCCCCTGTGCCCTTTGCCCTAGAGGGCAACTCCTCTGGGGTTAGGGACGGATGTAGGAGATTTGGGGGATTGGGGGCAATGACTTATAACTTTGCATTTCCTTTTCCTGTACGGCCAACTTGCAGCAAGAGGAAGCCTGGATATTGGTGAGGGAGGCTGGACTCAGAAGCAACTCCCCTACTGAGAAATAGTGTGGGCCCTAAATTAGCTCTAGGCTTGATTCCCTCCACTGTAAGTTGAAGATAATGGGTATTTTGCAAGCCTCATGTGAAGACGAAAGGATGAAGGATGTGAAAACACCTTAAATGGAAAAGCTGACCACAACTGCCCTTTAAATCATACTTATTAAGTGGGTGGTGGGGTTGCTCTGGGAACCAGGGAAAGCCCAATTGTAAATTCTCCAGCCTATTCCCAGGGGACCTGGACTTGTTCTGGATATGTGATAAAGCCTCATTTTGCTTTCTTTGCATGGTTTGTTTTCTTTAAGAAAACAAGCCACCAGGTCTGGGACTCGAACCATGGTCAGCCATGTGGGAGTGTCCAGCGCCTTCACCACCATGCCACCTGCTGGCCCGGTCGTTTGTTTTCTTAAACTCCAGGTTGGTTCCTCAATCATTCATCAAACCAACCTTTATAATTACTTCTGTATACCAGGCCCTGTACTAGGCTTTGAGAATACAAAAGTGCCTTCACAGAGCTCAAAGTCCACTGGGGGAGAACCTATCATCTGTCGCCCCCACTGGAATGTGAGCTCTGAAGAGAGGGGCTTTGTTTCTCTCAGTTTCTTACTGCGCTTAGAATATTGCTTCAAGAACACCCTGCTAAATAAATATGCATTGTATAAACAAAGGAGTTATATACCAGGGGCAGGCAGACCAAGGGGGGTACTCACTCAAAAAACTTAGCCAGGTTTTTGTTTTGTTTTGTAAATTAGGAGTCCACCTGGTGGTGGTGGGGAGGAAGGCATTGGGGCAGGATATGAAGTGAGAGCTTTGGAAGAAACAATGCCATCTGTTCTCAGGAGGTTCTCGGCCCCGTATCCATGAGCTTTTTGGATTTGTTCCTCTGTTTCTGTAAATTTTCTCCTGGAGTGGAGAGGAGTGCCCCAAGATTCTCAAGGCGTCAGAGTCCCAGCAACCATGTTCATGGATTCTTGCCCTACGTCACTCCGATGCCCCTCACACCCTGGAGGTCCTTGGGCAGCTCCTGACCATGGCAGTCCTTTGCACCGTCCCCATGAGATCACTTCCATCCCTAGCCCTGGCCCCTGCTTCCTGTGCTGAAATGGTTTTTGACTTGTTGGCTGTGACTTTGGGCAAGGAGCTTATCATTTCTGAGCTCTACTTTTCTGGTCTACCAAGTAGGAAACGTAATTCTCACCTCCTCCACTTGTGATCATTAAAAAATAAATATGTCTGCAAGGTGCACACCACAACTTGTGGTCTACAGTAAATGTTCATATGTTCATTCAATAGGTAATGGTTATTTCAACTTCCCCTGTCACTGCCGCTCCTCCCCTGGCACAGGGAGCCCATGCCTCCCCAAGCAGGGAATCCAATCTGCCAGTTCCGGCTCCGGCTCCGGGAGATTAGTTTTAGGTGTCACCTAATCAGTCCTGCAATCCGAGCCCCTGTAGGGTAGGGTGTGTATAAAGCCGCAGGAGAGGCTGGGCTCAGAGACGCTGCTATGGAGCGCGAGGTGGGAGCCAAGCTGCTGCTGCTGCTGTGGATGACGTGCTGCAGACATGCACAGGTCCATGGGCTAAGTGGATACACGTCTGTCATCGAAGTGACCAACGGGGGTCCCTGGGGCGACTGGGCCTGGCCTGAGATGTGTCCTGATGGATTCTTTGCCAGCGGGTTCTCGCTCAAGGTGTGGACTTAGCCTAGGTCTTGGAGGGGGCAGAGACAAGTGTGGCAGTCCCCTGATGCTGCCCTTCTTGTCATCCAGGTGGAGCCACCCCAAGGCATTCAAGGTGATGACACCGCTCTGAATGGAATCCAGCTGCACTGCACTCGTGGGGACGCAGAGCACAACACACATGTGGTGGAGTCACAGTCTGGAAGGTTTGGGGGCCGTGGATCCCACGGGGTAGGGGCCCTGGCTCCCCTAGCATGAAGATATGCCCCTTACCTTGTTACATGCCGGGTGGGCAGGCTCCTCCAGAGCTGAGGGGCAGTTTAGACTCAGTCCGCTGGAGTCGGTAAGCGCCTGGCTTGGAAAACCCCAAGAACTGGGTCCATCTAGAGGTACATAGAGGGCGCCCTCAGAGTCAGCGGTCTCTCCATCTCCCTTTTTCCTTGTAGGTGGGGCCCATGGAGTGAACCGCTGTGGTGCCTTGGAGGCGGCTTCCTAGTGGCTTTCTCGCTTCGTGTGGAGGCACCCGTGACCCCCGGGGACAACACGGCAGCAAATAACGTGCGCTTCCGCTGCTCAGACGGCAAGGAGCTGGAGGGGCCTGGCCTGAGCTGGGGAGAGTTTGGAGAGTGGAGTGGAGCATGCCGCAAAGGCGTGTGCGGTTTGCAGACCAAGGTCGAGCCCCCTAGAGGCCTCCGCGACGACACTGCACTTAATGACGTGCGTTTTTTCTGCTGCAGCAGTTGAGACGTTCGAGTCGCTGCACTCTCCCTGGGCCCAGAGGTTAGACCCACCTCCCGCTATTAAAGCTTGTCCGACTTGGCTTTGGTCTGGCTTTGTTCTAAAAATGGGAAACTGGGTCTCCTTATTTTCTGCCAGGACTATATTTGGGTTTAGTGTCGGGAGCCCGTGGCAGGCTGCCAGGCTGCTGAAAGTTACAGAGCCATATGCCAGAGAAACGCACTCAATACACATACTTTCTCTGGTAAGTAAATGCAGTTCTTGCCTTTCTAAGGGTATCTGCAGACACCTTGCCACCAGGTTAAGAGTCTATTAAATGATAGGGCCAGCGGATGGCGTAAGGGTTCTATGTAGTCGACTGTGGTTTGAGTCCCAGATCCAGCTGCTTAAAACTCACACCGGGTGTGTGCGCATTGGTACCCAAGATCCCAAGAGGAGAATGGAGGAGAAGGGATTGTGGGATTGTGACATGGCCATCCCTCCTGGGGGTTGAGTTCTCATTTTCTGTCTCTCTCCATCTTTCCAGAAAGCACACACACCCTATAGCAAAAATCTCTCTTAGAAAAAAAAAGAAAGCCTACTAAATTAGGAGGTAGTAATGCTACCAATGGCTTTAAGGCTTCCTTTTCTAGAGTTTGAAGCCAACGTGGTTTTTTTCCATATCTTCCATTTTCCCCCTGTAAAACTCAGATGGTGACCAGCTAACTGCTGGTCCCCAGACAGTGACTTTTTAAAAAAAGATTTATTTATGTAATTTTAATTTATTTGCTCATTTATTTTAATTTGACCAGAGAGAGAAAGTGAGAAAGCAAGCCACCAGGACTTGAACCATGATCGACCATGTGGGAGTGTCCAGTGCCCCAACCACTATGCCATATGCTGGTCCCTTGACAGTGATTTGTCTACATATTGATTCATGGGACCAGCAGTTAGTGTAATGGCTATGTCGCTGGACTCCCATGTAGTTGACCACGGTTGGAGTCCCAGACTCGGTGGTTTAAACTCACACCAGGCGTGTGTGTGTGCGTACTCAAGATCCCGAGAGGAGAATGGAGGAGAAGGGATTGCAGCACGGCCATCCCCCTGGGGGGTGATTTCTCGCTTTCTGTCTCTCTGTCTCACTCTGTCTTTCTGGCAAGCGCACATGCCTATAGCAAAAACCTCTCCAAAAAAAGAAAAAAGAAAAGAAAAATGATTCACGTTAGTACCTTTGTCCTTACTGTTCTCTCTGGTTTGAATTCCCCAGGCATCCAGATGGCTAGTACATCCACCAGATTGCAGCCCAAATTTCACTTCTGCAGACTTTCCCCATTGTAAAAAATCAGTCCTTCCATACATCTGCATCCATCTTATTACATATATATATATATATA